ATATTATTGTCTAGATTATTTTTAATCAGAGCAGCTGCATTCTATTCCCATAATAATTCACATGAAATTCCTTGCAAATAAGATATTTATTAACAAATACATCAATTTTTCTTGTCAGCTAATAAAAAAATAATATCTTCTATTACCGTGTACAAAACTTGATAAAAGATTTTGACATGAATAGAATTTCTTAATATAATGTATTTGCCACTTGTTTTCTTATTTAGTGATAACTAAGAGATACATGTGTTCTGGTATTCTTTTGATAAAATATTACTACATATGGTTTTCTCGCAGTGCAAGTATGATGAAGAAAASTGCATTAAACAATCTTTCATAGTTGCAGTATTGTTGTATTCTTCTTATCACAATCTTGATAATAATGAGTAGGCATTTCGAGTCAAATTATTTACCTATCCTGTTAAATGAATCAGTTTATCAATCARTTTGATATAGGTTTGTTTTTTACAAATGCAAGATTGCAATGCTTACCTTTTGACAAATTCTTCTCTTGATTATTCTTTGTTAGTGCACCTACATTCTATTTATCATATATTATAGAATAAAACTCTTGTTCGGATGACATAATCAATCCAAATCTTCTAATCGTTAGCCGTAAAAAAATGAAATATATATCTCCATTGATTGAATAGTGTAATGAATTCTTCTTCTCGTGAGTACGTATAATGTTCTTGGATTGAAATTAAAAATATAGATCTGCATGCTGATCTAAAAATATTTAAAAAGAAGTACTTTATATATGTACCAAAATAAGTTAGAAAAGGGAGAAAATGTTTAGATAATGCATAAAGTTAAAAAACAAAATATATGCTTTACTTACTAGTATTAGTTATAATAATTTGATAAAGGGAACGTCTGGAATTTATCTCTATTTTTGGATTTAATTAAGAAAATTATTTTTCTTAGGTTATGACATAACACTGTCCCACAGCAATTTATCCAGTTTAATTATTTTCATTCATAATTGGCGATCACTAAAGAAAGAATATGAAACAAATTATTACAAATAAAAAAAAATATTATTCACTTAATTATTGCATCACTACAAATTTTTGAAAATAAATACTTTATACTGCACGTAGCCTATATTTGGGGTATTCAAAGTACATTGACAGGTAGCCATGCTGATTTTTTCCTAGCGATGTGTTATCTCTCGTCTAGATGGCGACACATATTCCACCTGTCGGTAACTAAAGTACAAGTTTCTACCGTTAGATGGCGTTAAATATCTTAAAATTGGTAATAAATTACAAATTTTTCATCATATTATATTTATGTTAAATTATAAAAAATTAATACAACTCTTCTACCGCAAAGAAAGTAAAGAATGCATCTGCAAATAAATATAGGTCTTTGAAAAATAGTGAGGTAAAAAATAACATTGATAGATCATTAAACAATTTATTTTAAAACAGGAAATTTTTCTACAACTGCAAAATTTTTTTTTAATTTATTTTATAGAACATATTTTTTGTGAAGGTACCTATCGAATAGGTATAAATTTGACTCGAATTGATTTAGACGAGTTCAAAGTTAGATCTGCCGAAAATGTAACGTCATTTAGTTCATCTACCGGTTCTAACTCAAAATTGTACAATATAAAAGCTACAAAGAGTTTAAGCTCAAGCATTGCGAGTTTTTGACCTGTTAAATGAAAAATAACAAGAATAAGAATAAAAAATTGTATTGTTGCTGTACTGATTTTGACATGAGACATATACCAATACAGTTTCTCGGCCCAGCACTAAATGGTATGTACGAATAGGGATGACGTCCTTTAACATTTTCCGGTAAAAATCTGTCTGGGTTAAAAACATTTGGATTTGGCCAATATTCTGGATTTCTATGCACGTAGTTAATCATCACCTCACAGATACTTCCAGATGGAATTAAATAGTGTTCTGCGGAATTAATATAATTACATAATATACAATATAAAAAGTAAATATATAGTACATGAGTAATGCTAAAGTGCACGTATACACGTATGCATATATTTTCATACTTAGCTGCATATCGTGAGAAATTTGTCGAGATATAAAATGGACGCTTGGATACAAACGAAGCGATTCTTTTAAACATCTCTCTAAATATGAAAGTTTTTTAAGCGACGATATCGTTATATTATTATCATCTTCCTGCATAATCGTTTTTACCTCATCTCTTATATTTTCCTAAAAATAAATACACATCACATGATTACTTATGGTCTAATCTATGAAAATCGCTATATCCGTACTACTTAGAAAGCTTTAATAATCTTTGCTTGAATTCGGGTATTAGTAATAATTACAAGTTACTAAATTTATTAAAACAATTTGCCGCGATAAATCCTGCAGAAATTTCTAGAAAACAACAAACTTTTTCTTTTGCTAATCATTTCAACTGATTATCTTTGCTGGTTACTTTACCTGGACATCTTTGTGTTTTGCAAAAAGACTCAAAGCAAAGGTCAGTGCACTTGCGGTAGTATCGTGGCCCTGAAAAAATATTTTTTACAGAATATTTTTCAAATTGTTTCTTCTAAGAAAGAACATTTATAAGAATCTACTTCAAACATGAAAGTATCAACTTCTTCTCGAATTCCTTCCGCATCTATTTGATTATCGTTCCAAGATGCGGCTATAAGCAGATCTAACATAGAAAGCCTTTTCTTATATTGCAAATCTGTAAAATTACAATTTTATTGACCTTGCTTTTTCTAGTTTTATTTTATTCTTATTAACAAAACTTGAATACACTTATTTTCATTTTCTCTCACCCTCATTAAAAACGTCATTCTCATCCAAATTATCAAATATTTTCAAATATTCCCCATTAGTTTGTTCGTGAAAACGTTTCCTTTCCGCAATTATCTGGAATAAATATAAGACATTCCTAATCTGGATTGATATTTTGGAAAAAGGTAGATTTTTAAATAATTAGTCAGAAATACGTACATTTCTTGAAAAACTATGCAATGTTTTCAACACTTCTTTTTGTAGTCTTCCTATTTTTGTAAATCGAAATATAGTATCGTACATATACCAAGGTCTTACCATTCTAATAAACAATATTTAACATTCTTTATTCTATTTTTTTTTTTTTTTTTAGCGAAATGTTAATCAATTACCTATATGCAACAATACTTCCATAAACATGAACAGCATCACGATACTTATTTTCCAGCTCGCTGTTTCCTCTCAATTTAGTTCCCATAGCCGTTTCTACAAAGAAAATTCGGAAATGTAATTAATTACTTATATTAATAATTCTGTATACAGAAAATTACTTATTTAACTAACGGCATATTGCGTTGAGAGTGTATTGGCTGATAAAACTTCTTAAATCTTTGACAACGGGATTTTCATTTCCTTCCTTTTTAAGATATTTTACCAGATTTTGTGATTCCTCAATTAAATTAGTACAGTAATGTTTAAGAATATTAAAGTGAAATGCAGGAGTTAACATCTTCCGTCGTAAGTGCCATTTTTTGCCTGTTAAATTAGATTAAAGACAAGATATTATAAAATATATTGAAAGGATAAGAGAAATTCGGGAGTGTATGTGTACTTAAATATAAAATCTAGAGAAAGTTTGAACGTAGATAATAGTAAAAATCACTCTTAAAAGATCGCATAGACAATTCTAGAATAGTCAAAAACGTTCTCTTTTTAAAAGTAAAGATTTAAGAAACGTTTTTCTTTTATGTCATCTAGTATTATAGTTAAGCAAGAAGGAAGTATGTGAATATGCGTGCGTGCGTGCGTGCGTGCGTGCGTGCGTGCGTGCGTGCGTGCGTGCGTGCGTGCGCTTTCTTATTATTAGGGTCTATAGGATAGTATGCGTTCGTGGCATTTATTTATGCGCTTGTAAATGAATGTTTGTTTATTATTGATAAAAGCATTAGAAAATATCCCTAATTCGCCGCCGATTGTAACAACATTTCGCTCAAACTAATATAAAATAAATAAACTAAATGATAGTTGTTCATTTGTCAAGTCAGCTTAATTCGAGGATAAGATACTGATCAAACTTTTTCGAAATATGTCACAGCTAGAAAAGTCGAAATAATCTAATTGTAGAAGATAAAAATATGAATGTCGAAGGGAGAAGAAAAGACGATTGTCTTTTTTTTTTATTTACGAATGAATACTGACGCATTTATATCATTCAATTTTAAATATATTATTTATAAGATATTTGTTAATATTTTCAATTGTTTACCGCCGCTAATTAATAATCCAGTAGAAAGCCAGTGCTGAAGATTTCTGTAAAGTATTCCTTTTTCAATATATTCATTGCTCGACAATAGTACCTACGATAGAACGATAGATATTTTTTTACATATATAAATTAAATATTTCGATTGATCTTTAAACCTTTAAGGCATCAAATTTTTTTCATATAAATTTACTAAAGCTTCTTTATAATTATTATCTGTCAATTTTGCATTACATCAAATGAATTGCAGAGATAAAAAGTATCATTTAAATATGCAGCAAGGGATACAAAACGAATAATCCAAGATGATTTTTTTTCAAGTATGTAATTTCAATTTGTCGTGCTGGTTTCTAAACTATTGGATCTATGCAATTTTGTAACAAAAAAAATAGTACATTTCTAACTTTTTTTATATTTCAAAAGATTAAAAAAAAAAAAAAATAAAAAGACATGTTTATTTCGTATTTACTTTAAAATAAGTTACCTGAATATCATCTGGATTAAGTAAAGTTACTCCGTAATACGTTAAGATCCAAAATTTGTGAATTGGATAAAATTTAATATTCATTTCTTCTAATTTCTCTAATAGACGATCTAAGTTATTTAAATAAATTAGTTATTAGTGAGAACTTTATTGATAAAGAGGAAACACACCGAAAAAATATTTTAATAGAACTTACCATTGTCAACGTAGTAATGATAGATATTTCCAATTATCGGATATTCTTTTGGTCCTGGAATTAATCTGAGTAATCTTCCAACTCTTCTATATTTTAAATAACAATGAAATAAAAATATAATCAAAATTGATCCTAATAAAATTGCGACCATCATTTTATCTGTAAAATAGAAAAAAAATTTAAAATAAACAATGAATAATGCAAAAACAATATTTTACCTCTTAATGTTTAATGTCAAGATTACAGCTCTTCTAGTAATCCGAAATAAAAAAATAAAAAGGATTATTAATTTAGAATAATGTCGCTATCGTTTGAACTAAAAGAATTGAAAAAAGGTTTTTTTTTTTTGGCTAAATTACAGCTGTTTGAAAAAAAAGTTACATTATTTTTACCACTTTTTTTACTTTTCCGAATTTTTTAAAAATAGTAAAACTTGAAAATTTTTTAAGATTTTAGTTTGCACGATAGAGTAACGCGTAGAATAGACTCTCACCACACATTACATGCAAATCGGTTTAGTAGAACTTGAGATATCTTGACAAGTGTGAACAACTATACGTCCGAAGGTTATACATTTCCAAGTAAATATTGATATTAAATTAAATGTATCGTACATTAAGTATATGGAGTGATTCTTTTGTTTAGTTTTCATAGAAAGATATGTAATCAGCAAGAAACCAGTTTAGTTTTTTCTTGTTTTTTTTTTTACTTGATTTATTAGAAAAAACTCATTTGCAAGTACCAAGTGTTACGTCCATCCAAGGTTGGATAATATTTTTATCATTTCTATTAAGCATATCATTTCAGATAATAGATTCTTTACTATTGGTATAAAATAATTATTTCAAATATTAGAAAAATTAAAATTACAGTAAATAAAATATTCTATAGCCAAAGCCAGTGCATCGGTCCTAAATCCCGAAAAGGTAAATAAAAGTAAACAAGTTGTAGTATAATTTTATCAAAAATTATAATTTGAGAGTTTTCGAGGAAGATTATTATAAATTTGATATTATTTTATTAAAAAAGCATAAAAAAGCAGAGTCAGAATTAAAGATAAATTGATACAACAAAGTTTTTTTTTTTTTTTTTTTTTCATTTTTCTGTCGATTTTAATATTTAAATATGATTTTTTTATATTATACATTTATAGCATTATATTACATTCGTTTCTACGTATATTTATTTGTAATTGTCAACAAAAATTCTATATTCACATATTGAAGTTGGATAAATGATACTCTATGCGTGTTTAAACAAACCGTAATTTTTCGGGCGCAAAGAATCGTAAATGTGTTTCTACTGATAATTTATTGTTACGCATAGTCATCTATTTACAAAAAAAAAAAAACTGTTAATAAAAAAAGTTCATGGGTTCACAATATATATTTCTATGTTTAAAATTGTAAAAAAAAACTTCATTTTTGGACCTTCTCCAAATTTTCGGGATTCGAGACAAATTTGTGTTGCCTAATAAGTTTAACTACAAGAAGAAAACACACGAATGAATCAATAATGATTATTAATACTATAAAACAGATACTTCTCTTACTCTCTTTAGCATACAATTTTCCCACTCTTTCTATTTTTCTCCCCTTACCCCATTTATACTGCTCTATAAAAGAAGAGATATATCGTTTATACGCAATGAACAGAAAATGATGCAAATATAATGAGAGAAATTGGTTTAATTAAATTGCATAAATATACATCAATATCGGTTTTACATTCACTTTGCTACATGTTGATTTCCATAAACGACTCCTCGAATAATTTTCTTCCAATTGTCAGTCTTAGATCTCACTCGTGCTTACCATCAAATTCCAATAGCTTCTGAGGACAAAGTAAAAAACAACAGTTATCACACACCATTTGGTTTGTTCGAATACCTACCTTTTTGAGTTGTGCAATGCGCGGCACAATCCTTCCAGAGTTATGGACACGGTTTTACGTGATCTCCAATGCTGTTATAGCCATATAGACGACACATTGATAGTCTGTAAATCAATGTAAGAGCATTACCAACATCTACAAACAGTATATAAAAGATTAGAGGAGTACAGTTTAACTATAAATTTAGACAAATGCATATTTGCAAAATAAAAGGTCAAATATTTCAGTTTTGAAATAAGCGCTGCTGGTATTACACCGTTAGTAGAACGAGTTCAAGCAATCCAGGATTAGCCTAAACTAAAATTTATTGAAAATTTACAAGATAAGAAAACTGTGCAATTTAAAACTTATTAAAGACCAAAGACTGTAAGATGTAAACATAAGTTAAGTTAGTATAGGTTAAATTTTAAGGAGGAAGTGGTTGTAGCGAGACGCGACTAGCGTACCGACGTTATACACTAACGCCTTTCCTCCCTCTACGGGAACTATACCAATTAAGTTCGAAGTTGAACGTAACGATCGAGATATTATATTATTATTTGTGATTAATTTCACAAATAAATCGGAGTCGGTCGAAGTAACCTTTAAATCCGAAAGAGACTAAGAAGAGACTATCAGTTAATGTAATAAACGGCAAAAGCGAAAACCTATATACTGCCATTTTAATATTTCAATCTTATCAGTTAAGAGCAATTTAAAATTTACAGTTTGTAGAGGTTATTCAAACGTAACTAATCAAATTTAAGTGAGGTTATTAAGAAAGGTAAATAATAAAAGAAAAATTTTCCACGTGCACATGTAATTTCTAATCTCGTGATTATGTACGTATATGCTTTAATCGTGTACTGTTTTTCTTGATCAACTAAATTTTGAATTTACGGTTGTGTTCATTGAAAGTAATAAAATAATACGTTTAAATATATTTATTTATGAAAAACTTACAATTAATATTAGATATAATGTACATAGTTTGTCTTAAACGATTTCGTAATAAATAATTTACTAAAAAAAAAAAANGAAAGTAATAAAATAATACGTTTAAATATATTTATTTATGAAAAACTTACAATTAATATTAGATATAATGTACATAGTTTGTCTTAAACGATTTCAAAAAAAAAAAAAAAAAAAAAAAAAAAAAATCCTTTTAATACGCATACATTTAAGTGTATATATTTTGTACGTTTATTCAATAAAAAAAAATACTAATCGTTATTTTAAATTAACATTTTGTAAATATGTAAGTTTTAAATCTCGATAAAAGGTTAAAGTATATTATTTATATAATATCAACTATTGAATTATTATTTTTACTGATCAATACTAGCTAGTATAAATGTTATATTGTTATTTGATTTATTATTCAACAGTCATAATATTACTTTTTTTTTTTGGTAAAATAATCTAATATAATTATAATTTTAATTTTAATTATTTTCAGATAAATGGCATCAACTCGGCGGAATAACCGATTAACTTCCTGCGAAGTAGGAGAAATTATTGACGTTATTGATTTGACTGATGAAACATTCTATCATGGACCGCAATCTTATAATAATGTTTCTGAAAATTATTCTAATTTAAATAATTCATCCACAACTCTATCATATAATTTAAGAATAAACGAATTAAACGACGAACAGGCATTTCTAGTTTCAACTGTATTGTAAATATTTTTTCTTTTTTACAATTAGATATATATATATATATATTTTTTTTTTTCTTCAATAATAGTTAGTTAATTAATTATGCAAAACATATAATTTCGAATCTTACTTTTTTATTAATTTTAATGAATTAATTTCCTACTTATTTTGTTAGAGATACTTTAGCTGAGAGTATATCACTTGCTTCATCTCCTAATGGAAGAAGAAATAGAAATGATAGTAGAAGACAAGTCGCAGATTCGAACAGAAATAGAATTAATGATAATGTTAATATAAGTCAAGAACCAGAAGAAATTTATCTAGATGATACCGTTTCACCTAAGAACAACGGTCCCTGGTGCATTAATGATTCTTGCACTGCTGAACCTACTATGTTAACTTGTGCTATATGCCTTGAAGAATTGAAAACTAAATACAAGCCTACGGCAACATCTTGTGGACATATATTTTGTGAAAATTGTTTGTTTAAAGTAATTCGTAAAACAAAAAAGTGTCCTACATGTCAGTCAAAAATCACTAAAAGGTCATGTATAAGGCTTTACTTTTAATTACATTGAAGAATTTGGTTTCGTTTTAATTATTCTTTTTTTTTTTTATATTTTTAAGTAACTATTTTTTCTATATGAATATCTTTTTGCAATTATAATATTTTGAAAAAAAAGCCTCACATAAACATAAAAATAATTCTTTTAATACCTAATGATACATACATTATATATCATTAGAATATAATTCGATTGTTTTCTATTTATTATAATGATTAAAAAAATAGTATAAATTAAATAATTTATTAACCCTTATAAGTACTTCATATACAGATTAAGATTGTTTTTGGTTTTTCTTTTCATTTGACAAATATGAAATTATTACAGTTATTGTTATATACTTACTTTTTTATAAGATCAAAATAAGATTTCAAGAAAATTTCACAAATATACATATTTACTGCATCTAATGAATATAAAGAAAGAAATCCCTTTAATTTGAATAATTTTATATTTTTATTTGTAACTTACGTAAATTATAAGACGTTCATATATAAGCCGCTTATTTGTTATAACATTTATTATTCATTAGTCGTACAAAATTTTGTTAGTGTTAAGCTCATTATTATTAAGAAAATTAATTTTAATCCTTTCATCATTGTGACAGGCAATTAATCATCACTTTACATAAAATGCAATTGACATATTTGAAAACTGAATATGCATATCTGCCAATATTGCAATTATTCTATATATATATATATAGAAATATATATGAAATATCATGTACAGCTATCGTAGTTGCCCGAAAATAGATTTAATCGTTTAAGATTTAAAAATTTCATAAATTCAATTAATTGTGTTAAAATTTGTATTTCGCGCGTTACAATCTCTATGTTCGAAATGTAAAGCCACTGATTGGATTATTCAACATTCGATGTCCACTCACCGAAGTGGATTGGTTAATTCTATTTAAGCCACGCCTACTTCAATGTTATGACAGCGCATGATAAAAATGAAGTATAAACTTTGTCAAAGAGAAAAACTAGAAATTTGCCATGCACACACAGTCGGTATTCGGTTTTATGTTAAACATTGACGCGGTTCGAGAAGTGCGTTCGAATAGTGAACGGTGATAAATATACATGTAAATAAACAAATAATTTCAATTAAAAGAATTTAGACTGGAGAACCGCTAATTAATCCACTGCATCGAAATCAAGTATATACAGCACTCACTACGCCGTGTCATTGACTTGGAACGAAGTGTCAAAATCGCTCGAGTCCATCTTCATCTTTGCCGACATTTAACCATAACAAAAATCATCGGTCCGCCGTCCGTCCATTCGTAGTAACATATGTAACAAAGAAAAGTTTAGTTGATTTGAAAATTTGACTTTTCGTTCTACCATTATATGTATATATATATATATATATATGTATATATGTATATTCTTTGTGTATATATACATATTAAAAAATAACTATTTTCATAACGATTGACAAAGGAATGAAAAGATGTATGTGACGCCAGTGCTGTGTTTTCTTTTTGCTATGATATTGCATATAACAAGTACCTCTTTGCAGTATTATCTTTACAAAAACATCAGATTTACTCTCTTGATAATATTATCGAAATTAGTTCAACGTATTAGTTTACTTAAATATTATGATACAGATAAAATAAAGAACAAATTATGATGATAGCTATCGGTGTATCGCGATTGTTATTGAATGCATTATGAACATATTAATTATCTCGTAAAATGGTGGTTTATATTATTGTGATATTTTGACATCGAGTAATTATTATTAGACGATATCAATAGCTAATTTGTACATTACATAAACACAAATGATATATAATTATACAATTTTCTATTATATTAATTTCATATTAAAGTAAATTTCTTAAGTGAAAAATAACGTGAAATGCAATGCATTTATTTAATTTTTCTTATTCATTATCTGATTAAAATCTAAAGATTATTTTTGTAAATTATCTATAAGTGACAATAATAAAAATCAAAAATATGATTCTAGGCTGGTTTCCATATATTCCAATTAAATACAACATAAAGATACAAACAGTGTTGTTTAATAACGCTCACTTCTTGGAATATATTTCATCATGACATTACACAAAGAGTGCAAAAAAACATTCAAAAAGATGTATCAGATAAAAGTCTTTTTTCACTGATCAAAACATATTGAGATTGGAGAGTGATGCCTATTCATCAGATCAATGTTAATCCGCCTGACTGGCAACCACCTTTATCTCTTGGTCCTTCCACAAATAATAGTCCTGCTGGAGGAGAAGGACTACCAGAATGGACTCCACGAGTATGTTAATTTTCATTTAAAATATAAGTAATAATGATTAAAAGTATATATATATGTATGTATATATGAACCAATCTTTTGTCATATCGATAAACTCCACCATGTAACAAAATGTAGACAAACATTATAATATGTGATATACATTGTCCTATCATTTATTTTTGATTGGTTTATTGTTAAGATTAATTATTATGGAAATTTTTTATTTTAATTATAATAGCTTAAGCATCAATTGAGTATTTTAACATTAAAATTACAAAAAAAAAAACAAAAAAAATTCCAATATTGTATTGTAGAGATTGTATTATTTTTAGTTTAGGAATCAGTATCATTTTTCTTTTAGGAATCAGCATATGGCACTGTTGTCACAATTATACCAGAGCATTGTCATTCATCTGTAAGCACATTATCTTCAAGCAATCATGATATTTGTCGGTAGGTATATTATGTTAAAATTATTGTTTTGTTCTATTTACATGTACTCGTATATAAAAATTAAAAATAAACTTTTTCTTTTTTTATTGATGTATATTAATTTTTATTTAGAATCTGCCATTGCGAGGGTGAAGAAGGTGCTCCATTGTTAGCACCATGTTATTGCAGTGGTAGCTTACGTTATGTACACCAAGCGTGTCTACAACAATGGATTAAAGCATCAGATACTCGTGCTTGTGAATTATGCAAATTCACGTTTGTCATGCATGCTAAAACAAAACCATTTTATGAGGTAACAATCTTAAACATTGATATTGCATTGTTGTAGCAATAAATTTAATCTATCATTTAATAATTAATACAATTATTAACATTTGATTATTTTATTTGACATTTATATAATTTCTTTTTTCTTCAGTGGGAAAAATTAGAAATGTCTGCTTTGGAGGTACGTAAATTATGGTTAACAGTGGTATTCCACGGATTAGCTGCACTTTGTGTAGCTTGGTCCTTATACGTACTTGTCGAACGTTCGGTGGAGGAAGCTCGACGTGGATTTTTAGACTGGTCCTTTTGGACTAAACTAATTGTTGTTGTAATAGGTTCTACTGGAGGTATAGTTTTTATGTATATTCAATTCAGGACATATATTACATTATGCAGAAAGTGGCGAGCATTTAACAGGTACATTTTATTAATATCTTATCCGTGAATGATGTAATTTACTGTTTATTAATGTCAAGATCAATATATATAGTATGTCGCTAATACAATTTTATTTTCTTTACTACTTAGAGTGATATTTATTCAAAATGCTCCGGAGAAAGTGGTGCTTCCTCCTTCACCTACAGATTCTTTAAGAGAAATGTCATTGCCTCTAAAGGATCCAACTGCCTCCATGCCAGAGCTCAATCGTACCCTATTGCCCCGTACTATAGATCCTCCATGTGCCTCACAGATGGTAAAACCAGAATGTGTTGCATCTTCACAAAGACATGATGCCCAATTGAAACTTTATGTCTTTGATAAATTGTCTTCTTCCGAAGACAATCTATAATAAACTGAAAAATGATAAACTAATGCTAACTACGTAAATGTAATTGGCCAAGTTTAATTTACATATAAATGAATGGGTGAAGTGGTGATTTTAGAATATATTACGATTTCGAAAATTGAAATTCCCTTTTCGAAACCGACAAGTATCCGCCCCTGTGAAGCACCTTTATTTGGAACTTAGTACTTCAGTGCTTAAATTGAGAATGGGATAGCTGAAAGTGTTCGGTTTAAATGCTGACATTTTTCTTCGACGATTGTGTACATAATTATTGTATCTGTGATGTTATTAAATAAACTTTACCATATTTAAACAATATGATTACTCCTGTCTCCTTTTTACAAATTTTCATTGATAAGTAATTATAACTATATATAGAGATTATAAACTATATATGTGAGTGAAATGTTTTATAAAAATAATTAAATATTATACAATAAAATAGCGCACGTATAAAAAAGTAACAAAAATAAAATGTTTTTATATTAGATACCACAATTAGGTGTAATTTGTGAAATATTTCATTTTTTATATTATTATTAAAGTAAATATTTAATAATTAGAACAGTAGTAGCATTAAAATTCATGAATTTGTATATTCTGACAATACCTAAGTATCAAATTTACTTTGATCAATATATCTATTAATTATAAAATTAGAAAACACGTATCCGTGTTACGCAATAAAGAAATACGCGAAACCAAAAATAATTCTCGTATATTAATTTCACAAGCAGCATGATTTCTTGGCTCTCATCACGTGAAGTTTGCCGCGTATGAAAATCCTATTTTTAAAATCAAAAGTATAAAAATAATTTCTAAAGAGAATAAATAATAATAAAAAATATATATATATCTGTAAGAAATATTATATTGATATAAAATTTCAAATACCAATTACAAATATATTTATTCAATTCTCAAATTTAATTGACGCTATTGTTCAGATTAATGCAATAAATTCTCAACAGAGTGCACTGATGATAGCGACACTAGCGCTCATATAAACAACGAGCAAACAATAAAAACCTTTCTACATGATTTGGTCTTCCTGCTTTCAGACATTGTAAAGTCGACGTTTGAACCGTTAACTCTAATTTCGAGGTAAGTTGCTTAAACGTAATCCAATTAATTTAAACAAATAAAAAGCAATCGCTATATAAATAAGATAAATTCATAAAATAAGATATTTGATTTTTTATTTAAAAGCAATCATTTATTTTATATAGTTCTATTATATGAAGAAAACTAGAGTCATAAATTCTACTGCAAGGCAAACGACGCCACAAAAGAACGCGTGCTAAAATAACCAGTCCATTTTTGTTTCATTTCATTTTATTTGACTTTATAAGTATAGAAAAACTTTCGTTTTCTTTTTTCTTTTTTATTAAAAGTGTACAATTAATTTATTTCTAACGCGATGGTTAGTTAATTTTTTTTTCTTTAACTGAACAAAAATGTTTTATATTAACAAGATGGCGGTTGCCGTTACGTGTACAATTCCATTGAAAATCGTTAATACTATCACATGTATATATATATATATATTCAATATTAAATATTTTTTTATTCATAATATTTTAAACATTTTAATATCATTAAATATACTTATTATATATATATATATATATATATATATATATATATATATATATGTATATATATGTAATGAATATTAAAGTAGCTTAAAATAAGTTTTGAAGAAAAGTTCAATTTTGAAGTATTTTATCTAAAGTTATAATCTCTAATATCTTCAATTATATTAATTATATCAATTAAGGTAAAATAATTTTACCATTATTTTTAGGTTTTAGTGTTCTAATATGGCTGATAATGATGATCTTTTGGATTATGAAGATGAGGAACAAACTGAACAAGTAGTTGATGGAAGTGGAGATGTTCCAGCAAAGAAAGAGGTTAAAGGCACATATGTGTCTATCCACAGCAGTGGTTTCAGAGATTTTCTTCTTAAACCAGAAATATTAAGAGCTATTGTTGATTGTGGATTTGAACATCCTTCTGAAGGTAATTAATAACATTTTACATGAATAACATTGCTTAAATGTTAATGGACGTTTTCTCTTATTAATAAGTCACCGGAAAATTCGTATTAATTTTTCAGAATATTTTAAAGGCAAAACTTTTATGTATCTATTATCATTATTAATATCTATCATTCAGTTAATTCATTTGTTTTAAACAATTCTGATATATTCAAACATGCGCCCAGTTGTTACCTATTGAAAATTGGCACAAACTTTTCGGAACATCAAAATACAATTTAATTATTTCACAATATAATGTGATGATATTTGATAGGGACAACAGATTAATGTAATGAATGATTTATCATATCTGAACCAATGTAAGATTTTTCTATTCATTATTATACGATTGAACACATTTGTAAACTATAAATGTTTTTACAGTACAACATGAATGTATCCCTCAAGCTGTACTCGGTATGGATATTCTATGTCAAGCAAAATCTGGTATGGGAAAAACTGCTGTATTTGTATTAGCCACTTTACAACAATTAGAATTAACGGAGAACCAAGTTTATGTCTTGGTAATGTGTCATACAAGAGAGCTTGCTTTTCAAATTAGCAAGGAATATGAGAGGTTCAGCAAATATATGCCCTATGTAAAGGTATGTTAGAAAATATTTTGTTAATTAATAATATTTAAAAAAAAAAAAAAAACTCATCTTTTGCCACTCATTTCATAAGAAATTGAATATTTAATTTCTAAATGAAGGATCTTCAAATGATGTAAAACACGTCTTAGTAATGATGATGACACTATTTCACCACTACCCACTACTGATGAAGATTCTTTGAAATTATTTATATTTTCTAACTTCATAAATAATCAACCTTAAATTATAAATTAATTTTTTTTTTTTTTTTTTTTCATAGAATACAATAAAGTATCTTTAATTTTTAAAAAATAGGTAGCAGTTTTCTTTGGTGGATTACCAATTCAAAAAGATGAAGAAGTTTTGAAGAATACTTGCCCGCATATTGTAGTAGGCACTCCAGGTCGTATTCTTGCCCTTGTACGAAATAAGAAGTTAAACCTTAAACATTTGAAACACTTCATACTCGACGAATGTGACAAGATGTTGGAATTGTTAGGTACGTTAAAAAAAAAAAAAAAAGAAACGTTTTATTATTAGTGCTTTTCTTGTTTTCATGCTTAATTTTGTATGAATAATTTTTGTCTTGTTTCTAATTCTAATTCTAGATATGCGCAGAGATGTACAGGAGATATTCAGGAGCACACCACATGGTAAACAGGTCATGATGTTCAGCGCTACGCTATCCAAAGACATCCGCCCTGTCTGCAAGAAATTTATGCAAGATGTAATTACACCTTCCTCTTCACTTCGATCTTCAATTGCTTCTACTTCGTTGGCCTTATATTCACACCCAGGACAAAGATCAAACTGTGTTACAAATATCGTTGAAGGCGCACCCGCGGGTTAGGCTAGTTAAACATCAATCGGAAGAAATGATAATACAGAATTCAGTATTGAAAAAAAAGCCCCTCGATATAAATAATATCTCTTGACATCAAGAGATGTCAACACTCATAATCTACAATATGAGCGTAACAACTTCACGCTTCAATGTTCTGTTGTTTCCTGCTGAACAATGTCTACATATTTTAAAGGGTGGGGAACCCTTTTCGTACTTCCCTCTTAAGGTCGATCAAGACAGCTCAACAGCATTTAAAAAAAAAAAAAACCCGGTTTAGTTATGATGTCATTTAAAAATTCTTTAATCTTATATGCTACGCATTCAAATTATTGATCTATAAAATATTTGTTGTCTATAAAAAAAAAAAGTCGGAGAAAAACAAATAGGGAATAATAGGATGGGTGAAGGGAGAATACTCAGCATCATATAAGGGTGGATCGCTAGGGAGGGTGAAAGTTTCTTACAAATATTAGAGCCGCATTGAAAATAATTAAAAAAAAAACACACACACACAAAGTACATAAATAAAAATTGGGTGGGGGGCGAAGAAGACATCAAGACAACCTGAAGAGAGAAGAATGCAAGAAAGAAGATGCAAGAGGATTTGTGGGAATAATCGGGTTTAGTTAGGAATAACTAAAACAACTATTGCGTAGCATATGCTAATATATTCGCGGTTCATATAATAATCATTATAAAAAAAAAAAAAAACTAAAAAAAAATAATTTGTCTTGTCTCGCGCGAAAGAGGGTGAAGTTCTGTACGCGTTTAATCTCATATTTTGGGGTTATATCGAAATACGATCGGATTGATAGGACTAACAAAACTACCTACAATGGAAGTGTGTCAATAATCATTGACCCTGATGGGAAGTCAGAGAAATCCTCGTATATCATGATTTATGAGCATACTCTTTATTTCACGACTGTGAACATAATAACTCCTTGTATATAAGTCGCGATGTTAGAAAATATCTGGAGGCTTTGGGCTTTATGATAACATAAACATGCTCACAATCAAATAATCAAAGCCAATTCTGGGCATCTTTTCAATGTACCAGAAATTTGGCAGAAGAGGTGTTTGGCATCGAGTGGCCAGTGGATGATTATGGCTGAGAACACATTCATGGGTGCGCCATCTTAGTTCTCTTGGGGTGACTGCTTGCTGAGTTTTCATTGTTGGCACTACCCAGAGGTGGAAGTCGCCGAACCGTATGTAACCACAATATGCATAATCTGAACAACGAAGTGTGCAGATCTCTTGGAACTAAAAAAAAAAAAAAAAAAATGAAAGTCTTCATTAGGCTTTCATGTGCTGTGTCTTTTTTTCTAAATAATGATAGGAAGAAAACAAATTTCTTCATTGAGAGGGACAAAAAAAATTCCGCTTACACTTTCTATATGTATATCTATTCGTGCTTCATGGAATTTTGTTTTAAGAAAAACATTTGTCCGATTGTTCATTTTTAATATTTGATAAAACAGGTCTTTTTTGTTTCGTATTTCAAATACTACTCTAAATATGCATAGAAACAAATTGCGTTATCTTCTCTCTGTCTTTTATTATTTATTTTCTTTGTAAATTTTTTTTCTTTGTTTTCGAAACACACAACGAACCTTATTATTATTATCATACTCTCCTTATATTATTTTATTTTAATTTTTTCTTTTTTTTTAAATATAAAGGTATGAAATAATGAAAGAAACAATTTGATGATAATGTTAAAAAAAATTATTAATCGTTATAGAGTCTGAAATTGATTCAGGCATTTTAATCATTAAAATTAGATAAAATTAACTTACAAAATTAATTCTTTGCGCAGCCCATGGAAGTCTATGTTGATGACGAAGCCAAGCTAACGTTACACGGCCTCCAACAACATTACGTGAAACTTAAAGAAAACGAGAAAAACAAGAAGCTTTTCGAATTATTAGATGTACTTGAATTCAATCAGGTTTGTCTATACAAATAAAATACACTCTGTTTACGTGTACATTATTTTTGTTTATGTATAAAATTAATTAAATATGTTTAATTATTTTATAGGTTGTAATATTTGTTAAATCGGTTCAAAGATGTATGGCTCTGGCACAACTATTAACAGAGCAAAATTTTCCTGCTATTGGAATTCATAGAGGAATGACTCAAGAGGAACGTTTATCGAGATACCAACAATTTAAAGATTTTCAAAAAGTATGTTATTTCATTATATGTGATATGGAAAGATTATATATCGTAAGAAATATTCTTTTTTAATAAGAAAAATTATTCTCTTTAGCGAATTTTAGTAGCTACTAATTTATTTGGACGAGGGATGGATATTGAACGTGTTAATATCGTATTTAATTATGACATGCCTGAAGATTCTGATACGTACCTTCATAGAGTAGCACGAGCAGGACGTTTTGGTACAAAGGTAAAAATAATTACATTTAACATATAACGTATATGTATAAAAAATATATATAACTTTTCTTTTTTCTTTTTTCTTTTTTCTTTTTTCTTTTTTCTTTTTTATAGGGTCTTGCCATTACATTGGTAAGCGATGAAAATGATGCCAAAATATTAAATGATGTACAGGAAAGATTTGACGTAAATATCACAGAATTGCCAGATGAAATAGATCTTGCATCGTATAGTAAGTGTCATGAATATATTTACACATTTTTCTAGATATCATCATCATCCTCCCTATACATCGCAAACATAAAATGTATTATACTTACATATTATATTAATGTAAATTGTGTTAATATTACAGTTGAAGGACGATAAATTAGATCTCGGTGCAAATCAAGTTTAAGCTTAATTAGGTATGTCTCATTATCATCAAATAAGTTAGATATTTATTTTAAGAATGAAATCTTATAATGACGTATGATTATAATTTTCTATTTAGATTTCATATAGTAAAACTTCTTACTATTACTGTAGAATCAAGAACAAGTACTCAAATGAGTAGACTAAACAGGGATAAAAAGTATATACTTTTTGCAATGTATTTGAACCATTGTGACATTCAAGATTTATTTATAATACACAATTTATTTTTCTTGAAAAACCAAAAGTTTGATGATATAACTGCTAACTACACGTATGAGTAGTGTAGTTCTCATGATTGCACTATCATAAATGTTTCTTTGTTTTTTTCTTTTTTTTTTTTTTAAATTACATAATAAAATATCGAGATGTTGGTAATAATAAATATCATCTATTAAATATTATGTATAGTAGCTATAATAATATACACGTAAATTTAATCACTCTAATAGATGTAAATGATACAAATAAATTTGTTTTCTTTTTTTTTAAAAAGGCTTCAGTTTTTTTTATTACATTAAACTTGCCTGTCAATTAACGAAGAAAACATATTTTAAACGTTTTCAAAGGATTTAAAAGATTATAATTATTACAATTTATAACCGTGTGTTGTTTGTTAGTACCATTAGTATATACAATTGTCAAATTGAGATTTATTCCCCAAAACAGAAAGAGTACAAATTAAATATGAGCCATTAATATTTGAAAGTGATATGAACCCGTTTATTCATGAATTAAGAAGAAGATATTTAAGAATTTGCATTTAATAATTTATTAGAAAAATTATTGTCAAACATGAATAAATTCTTGTAATATTTTTAAGACTCTATAAACTTATAAAATATTAATATGTAATAATAATGAATAAAATTATTAAAGAATGTAAAAAGTATTTTTTAGCTATTATAAAATTGTTAAAAACATGAACACATAATATTATAAACCTTTGAAGAATTGTTTTTTTTTTTTTTAAATATATTTTTTTATAATAATAAATAAAATAATAAAGTAATTATAATGCATATAGGTAGGTATATCATTTCATTGATGAATTTCAATAATTTTATTTCTCCTTTACAACTAACAAAAGAAAGGAATACTGTTAAACTTTCCTTTATCAATTCGATTCATTTTCATCGCTTGTGTAGACCGTATCTAAACTTCCAACAAATGTTATTTTTAATGTTTGTGCCATGTAGACAATCACGAGAAAATTAAGTATGAAAAATTGTAAAATTTAAGGTTTCTTTTATATATACGTATTTAATAATGTTTCATCATCTTTCCAAGCGCGGGGGGGATAGTCGTCAAAGTGGAAAGTGATTGTCTAACGAGTAAACGTTAGTTCCGATTTAAAGAGAATATTGCTCTTCTATTACGCTTATATTTTATATTTTGTCCATATTTGAATAGAATATTTAAATACAAAGAATGGTAAAAAATTTTTATGAATAAAACTTTTCAAATTTCTGATAATGAAGTTTAATCGCTTTGATTTGTAAACAAACAGCTCATATTGCATAAAAAGCATAAATATTAAGAATTAATAATATTAATAATATTAGGAAAAAAAGGAAATAACAGTTTATATATTTTTGATTGGTTCAAATAAAAAGCAATTGTTAAAGGAAAAAAAACTCATTATTATTTTATACGTGGTTTATTTTGAGCTTTACTTCCACCTTGATTACTACTTCCCCGACCCAATGGGGCAGAACCTCTACCACCACGTCCAAAAGTACCTAAAATACCAATATATATTTGTTTAATATTATATTTATGAATGTAAATAATTAAATGTTCACGTAATAAGTCATATCATACCTCTATTGCCTCCTCTTCCTCTTTGATTTTGTCCTCTTCCTTTCATTTCCCCACGTCCCCTTGATTTCATTTGTACATCTTCTTTAACCATATCTATTACTTCATCTGGTATTCTGAGATATTTAATAGTACTACCACGAATATAACATTCTGGCATTCTCCAAAATTTGTCACCGTCCTATTATATACGTTTTACCATATACAAGATACAAGAAAATATTAGAAATGGATTTCTCACATATGCAAACAAAAAATAAAGTTATGTTAATATTGGTCAGAAAATGTTCTCTTTTTAAATTAGAGAACTATATACTTTCAAGTATGATCTTAATCCTCTATGGATCAGTGTAGTGTTACTTTGCATATATAAATTTATGTTTATTTATAACAAAGATTCGGCACCCCCCCTCCCCCGCCCATAGAGGGTTGGTTAATTTATTCTGTAAAAAAAAAGTAATTGTTATTGAAAAATATTCATCCTTACCCTAGACGTACAAATGACTTCTCTAAGATTTATATTCATCCAATTATCACAACTAACTAAATGGCCGTTGTAAGTTTCTCCATTTTTTAATTCAACTAACTGTAAAATAATGATAATATTTAGTAATATGCATGCATCATTTTATAAGAAATTTGTTATTTCAAAAGATTATACAGTATTACCATAGGATGATTTTGTGCAGTTCTTAATAATGATAATGGTAACTGGAAATAAATTATTATTGAATTAGTTTAATATATGTATATAATAATTAATTAAACAATAACAATTTACCATGATTATATGACGATAAATATCACACTCTCGCCTTTTTATATTATTATTAGCGAGTAATATAATAATACTTTGTTGATCCCATGAGTGTTAAAATGATAGGTTATAACAAGAACAGGGCGAATACACAATAGAAATGTACACACAGATACAATAATTAAAAAAATATATATTAAAATATATAAATCATAAAATATGAAATTTAAAAATAATTTCCCATTGAAGATCTAATGTGTAATATATTTTACGTAAAAGTATATGAAATACATGGAAATATATGGAAATACATGGAAATACATGGAAATACATGGAAATACATAGAAATGAAGCCAAAATTAGATAGAACTAACTTCAAGTGACTAAATGGACTAAAGTTATCACAAGTTATAACAGATTTGTTGTTTATTAAAAGGAACGATATATTTATTTGTACTATTTTATTGGTATTTTGTTATTAATATTATTGTTTTTTAGAGTATGTGATACAATTATGTTATGCATTATTCAAAAACGTATAATACAAAAAACATACTGTTTAACACGACAGTTTACTTTAAGAGCTATTTTATATCAAGAAAACCAATCCGAAGAATATACATTAACACCTGAAACAAATTTTACATCTATACGAAGAGAAAATGCTTCATTTTTAAGAATTGCAATAATTGGTGCACCAAATGCTGGAAAAAGCACCCTTATAAATAGCCTTGTAGATAGATCTGTAAGTATTTGTAGTTATTGTTAACCCTTTGCGATCCAAATAATTCTAAGTGTTTTATTTTAATTGTTTTTAAGGATAACAATTTGGTTGGTTGGTTGATTAATTATTCTTACTATTAGATTGAAAATGGTATTGGAAATGTATTGTTTAAGTTGTAAAATATCTATATCATAGTTAATATTAAGAAATTATGTTACAGATATGTCCTACTTCGTCTAAAGTTCATACAACCCAAACGAAATGTGACGCAGTATATTCATCAGAAAATACTCAACTTGTTTTTGTTGATACTCCTGGTCTTGTAACAAAACATGAAAAAAATAGATATAAATTAAGTAACAGCTTTGAAGATGACCCAAAGGCCTCCGCTAATATAGCAGATATTATTGGAGTTGTACATGATGTATCGAACAGGTACACCAGAAATGTATTACATAGCAACGTTCTTAATTTATTGAAATCTCTACAATCAGAAATACCTACGATACTAATTATAAACAAAATTGATAAATTAAAAGATAAAACTAAATTATTGGAGATCATTAGAATCCTTACAAGTAAGACATATTGGCCAAATTTCTCTGATGTATTTTTAATATCTGCATTAAAGTCTGATGGTATAAATAATTTAAAAGTATGTATAATATATTTTTTTAATATTTATTCACAATTGTCTTATTATGCTTTTATTTATAATACTTCCTTTTTAATCCGTCTTGCAGGAGTATTTAATGTATTCTGCTAAATCTAAAAATTGGCAGTATAATGAAGAAACTTATACAGATCAATCAATGGAAACAATCATAAAACAAACAGTACGTGCTAAACTAATGGACTTTCTCCCTAATGAAATTCCTTACATGTCACATTTAACATTAGAACATTTGCAAAAATCTTCAGAAGGAGGAATAATTGCTTCTGTTATAATAGAAAATTCTACTAAAAAAAAGAGTTCTATTATAATTGGTAAAAATGCAGAACGTATTAAACTTATTGCACAAACATGTGAGAAAGAACTACAATATGCATTGCGAGCACCTGTTAAATTAATACTATGTATTAAAACAAAAAAATTAACCTAACATTTATTTCTTCTATTATGTTTATTTTTATGATGTAAATTATTTGTACAAAAATTCTTTCAAGTATCTTTGTTTAAAACTATATATTAATATATACGTATAGTAATATATACGTATACAATCATTATTTCATATATTTATTATATTATAAAATACAAATATAGTAGTAATTGATTTGCTTTTTGCTTTTTGCTTTTTGCTTTTTGTTTTTTGTTTTTGGCTTCAGAATGAGGATACATGTCTTACGTGTCGTAATAGAATAAAAACGATAGAGATACTTTTTTTAATAAATTGATTTAATTTTAAGCTAATGCAGTTAGATTTGTAAAAAGAAAAAATATAATTATTAAAATTGACATAGATGTGTTTATTAATGTTTTAAGGTTAGACGAGGTTATAGAAAAAGATCTGAAAAGAATTATGGTCATTGGTCAAATGCATCTAGTGACATTAGAAGGTGTTAATGGTAAGGGAAATATTGAAAGTGGTAATAACGGTGATAACAACATAAACAAATGATTTTATTTAACGCATTAACAGCCAGTGATCTAAGAGACATTTTAAGCACGGGACGGCGCTCAAGCGAGACTCGCCCTAGGGATCCTGTATAGGAGGGATGCGCCATTCATATTCAGCTCATGCGCCATTGGCTGAAAATTTTGGGAGATCGCTTGAATTTATAATAATTTTTTCGTGTAACCTATTCTATTTTAATATAAATTTTTAATTATCATTAAATATAGTTTATTTTTTTGTTCTGTATTTGATGCAATTCATTATTTCATAATTATTTCAATGTTTGAATCATTCGCGCGCAAAATCTAGTTCCGGTCCCCCAGCAATGTACATGGCGCATCCCTCCTATAGGATCCCTAACTCGCCCTACTACAGCGCACTCTGAACTAAAACTTCATTTTTTCGGCATTTACCGGACATTTTTTATATACAGTGTCAGCGTGTTCTCCTGTGTTTCTTTCTTCGTCGTCGTGGTGATGCACGAAAAGATCAGTTTTAAGAAAACGAACGTTACTGAAACTGAAAGCTGGACTTAACGAGGTTATAATGGCTAATATTAACATAAGATTAATAACTAAACAGCAACAGTAAGTTGTTTTAACTTTTTTTATTGTTAAATATATTGAGGTTATATTTCGAGGTTATATTTTGAGGTTATATTTAACATATATAGATCTGTACATATATATATATATATATATAGTTTTAGTAATTTATATTATTATAATAATTAATAAGATTTTGTATTCATATTTGCTCGCAGATATGCTGTTCCAGATTATCCTTTGTCTGTATTTACATCCATTACAACAAATGAATTAAATAATCTTGTAAATGAACTTATAAAAGGTAAATCCAATGTTCTTATATCATTTATAGTTTTTAAATATATACAGTAATTCTTTCATCATTTTTATGTGGATAATTAGTTTCACGAAAAGAGTGCGTTTCATGGAAAAACTATGAAAAGTTATTAAAAATATGATATATCTGTTTAATGTTTTCGCAAATATGTATGTATATAAATCTATTTTTAAATTAATTTACATTTTTGTGTAGAGTCTCGTCAATTGGATAAGAAGATAGATTTTGATTTCCTAATCTCATCGCAGTTCTTACGTACTACATTAGCTGAACATATATCTGAAAAGGGTCTTTCTACCGAACAGGTTATAGATGTTGAGTATATTGAAAAACATCAACCACCGGAGCCACAATACTGTCTTATTCATGATGACTGGGTTTCTGCAATAGCTGTATGCGACAAATGGTTAATATTTAAATATTTATTTGTTAGATTTAACATTGATCTTTATTTCATCAGATGAAGAAATATCTATCATTAATTTCATTATTTGTTTTTTTTTTTTTTTTTTTTTTTTTTTTTTTTTTTTTTTTTTATAGGATATTAACAGGTTGTTACGATAACACATTACACATATGGTCATTTAAAGCAAAACATCAACTTTCGATACCTGGACATGGAGCTCCTATCAAAGCAGTAGCGTGGATATCTTTGAATGAAACAAATGGAAGATTTGTCAGGTAAAGTAATTATGAAAAATCAAAGTTATACGAGCTGTTTGGAGGCCAAAGCGATTAACTCTACTTTTAGAATTAAGCACATTTTAAATATCAAAGTGCATTTGATCATCAATACTTCATTGTTTATATTGAAAATTTAAAACATTCCTTTTAGTCCTTTCACTTTGGTACACTTATGACAAAATATGACCGCTATGGATAAAATGCATTTCTGATCCAGTCGATGATGCTGGCTGGCATGCAGAATGCCAATAATTGTGTTAGCGAAAGGTTTAATAATTGGACAAAACATCCTTAAATAAGACTATTTTTTATGATCGATCAAATGACGATATGATAACAGATACTTTATCAATCTTGTTTACTTTTTGTTTTGTGAAGTTAATCAATTTGGCAAAATAAAAAAAAAATATTATACAAAATGCCACTTACATATGCATACGCGCGATAATATAATATGTTTTTTATTATAAATATAGTGCGTCACATGATCAATCAACTATAATATGGGATTGGAATATCAAAAGCAATTCTGTTGATTGTATTCATGTATGTCTCGGACATGAGCGAGGATTAGAAGCAATTGATGTGAATTATGATAAATCATTAATGGCGACAGGATCGTGGGATACGATGTTGAAAATTTGGTCAACGTGTAAGTATTATGTTCTTCTCTCTCTTATATCTTTCTTTTCTATGAAGAATATTCGATACAAGATGAAAATAATTACGGAAAATAGATAAAATAATGAAACAAAAAGATAAGAAATTTAGAAAAATATATAATAATTATATATACAATATATGAGATTGAATTTAAGAAAAATGGATTATTGTGTTTGTGTTACTAGCACAACTAGTGTTTGTTTGTTCGATAAAGTTTTCGATGAAGTGATCATCGGAGTGTCTTAACTGTTGAAATAATTACAATATTATATATTGTATAAGAAAAATGAAGTATGATCTCTATTGTATTATTTTGTTATTACCATATTTGGAAACATCACGTAAATTTAGCGTGCCAGTCAACAACGTGTTTGTTAATTATACTTTCTTTAGGATAATTTATAACACAATTTTGAATAAATTCATTATTTGTCGACATATGTTAGCTTCACAGGATGAAACAGAGGATGGCGAACCTAATGCAAAAAAATTAAAATCAGATCATGGAAAAACAAGAGTGAGTAATATATTATAATATAAATGTGAGGTTTCATGTTATATATGGTGTTATGTGTAATGAAAATATAACTATTAATTATAGGTACCCAAAAGAACAATGAAAGGTCACAAGGAAGCTATCAGTGGTATTACATGGTCAGATAAAACAGAACTTATAACGTCATCGTGGGATCATACTTTAAAAATATGGGATTCTGAATTAGGTGGAATGAAGCATGAAATTATGGGAAATAAAAGCTTTTTTGATCTTCATTATTCAGAATTATCTCGGACTGTTATAACCGCATCTGCTGACAAACATGTCAGGTTATATGATCCTAGATCAACAGGTATGTAGCTCTTCATCAATAATTCTAATTCTGTACTGCATAGAAATATAATTTTCAATAATAACTTTATATATATATATATATATATATACATATTATTTTCATGGAATTTCTTACAGAAGGAGCAGTTGTAAAATCTATGTTTACTTCACATACACAATGGGTACAAACTGTTCGTTGGTCAACGGTAGATGAACATTTATTCATTTCAGGTGCATGTGACAATGAAGTCAAACTTTGGGATACTAGAAGGTAAATTTATCTTATAGTATTGATATTTCTTTAATTACAGTACAAATTAAATCATGATTATTAATATATATATATATATATATATGTTCACAGTCCTAAAGCACCCCTATTCGATCTTACTGGGCATGAAGATAAGGTTTTATGTTGTAACTGGTCAAATCCTAAGTTAATAGTATCAGGTGGTGCTGATAATACTGTAAGGATATTTAAATCAAAACAATTCGTGCATTGATTGTACTTTCATCTTGTACAATTTTAAATGTAGAAAATATTTTACATTTTTGTAAAATTTATATCTATATATATATATATAGAAATAATTTTGTTTATTTATTTGTTCAACAAATATTCAGTGCAATGTATAAAGTCAAAGTTCTTAAAGTTTTTCCTGTTAACTTTTTTCATATTTTATGATCGTATTTACGATTATAATTTAAAAGGATATACATTATTTTAAAAGAAAAAGTAGTATATAAGGACATTGTACAAAAAGAAAAAGAAAACGGAATTTATAGTTGGGCTATTTCTTCCGTAATGTTATAAAATCGCTAATGAAAATAATAGAACTTTAATAATGATGTATTATTACCAGGAGAAATTTTTGAGCGCAAACTTCTTTTATTGCACATAAACCATCCAAAATATGTAATTAAAATGATGTCACTGTAAATGTTGAAAATGATAAGATAACTTGCTTGTGTATTTTGTATTGGTAACAAATCGAAGTACGGCTTGAACACGTTCCACAGTTATTTAACCGTATTAAATAAATTTTGTAATATACAGTGAGTGTCTCTTAAAATCGTACACCGTATTACACTTACTAGACTTTTGCTTGAAAACTATGGATATACAATATTATATTTAAGATGAGACAATTTCAATTATAACGATTTAATTCAACAAATACGAAAATAATTTACTTAAAATGTACGTACATTAAAATCGACAACAATTGAACATGAAAAATTGATGGTCATCCTTTGTTTTTTCTGTTATTTAAATAATGTTTTTAGTATCAATTTAATATCTATATTAAAAGTTAAAATAATATTAAGTATATATGTTTAAAAGTGACATATGTATTATTTTTTTAAATGCAAATTTTCGAATCAAAATCATCACCTAGTAGTAATAGGAACGTTAAAAAAAAAAAAAAAGAAAAACCACTATATTTTAGTTAAAACAGTCGAAAATATTAATAAAGTACATTTGAATGTTCGATGTATCATTCTCATTATCCTCTGTGAAAGTTCTCTGTGTTTATATGACATTCCGAATATTATTTTGATTTTATATACACATGTAGCCTTGATAAAGTTATATAAACTATAAAATAATAATAGAAGAATTTTAATTGACTGTCACAGAGGACAATGAGACAGTCTAATGGTGTACTTCGAATGGAAAGGTAGTTTCTACTTGTATAATACGTGTTTTTTTAAAACTATAATTTACATTTTTTTTTTTTTTCAATTAATTAACAATCATTTAATATATATCGAACATTCTAATCTACTCTATTAATATTTTCAATCGTTTAAACTAGTATACTTTTTTTTTTTTTTTTTTTTTTTAACGTTTTCTGTATATTATTTTCATATTAATTTTTAATTCACTTGTTATAAATAATCCCTTCAAGTTATAAACTCATTAAATATGTAATTAAAATATACTCTCTGTATATATTATATAAATGTACTATTTTATATAAAAATAATGTATTTATTTTGAAATTTTCTTTATCCTAAGCAGACTATATTAGTAGTTTTCAAAGAAAAATCTAATAAACGTAACATGTGGTACGATTTTAAGGAACACTTACTGTATAGATGCTGAGGGAGAAAGGTAGAACTATATCACATAAAACAGAAGGATATTAATATAGGGTTGGGGGTTGGGACATGGATTCAGTATTAAATACAAAGGACAGTTTTGCGCATTCTATTGCACATGCTGTATACTATAATACATTAGTAAACATTATAATATTCCGTACCAAAGTTTATGAAAAAAAAAAAAAAAGAAATTATCTTCAATTAAGCTCTTTCATTTCTTCTTTTTTTTCTTTTTCGTTTTTTTTTTACGGAGTTTTTTTTTAAGGTTCCGCTTTTTTTTTTTTTTTAGAAGACATACACTAATCGCTATTCAATTTTTGTAGAAAGCATATTATCAAGTACGAAATACATATAAACGGAGCTAGTGATTTGTATGAGAGGAAGTTTTTTATTTCGTAGACCCTTATTTCTATCCGCTGTAACTACAGTTTTTTCAAAGCCGTAAAAGAGTCCTTAAGATTAGTAAAAATATGTTGTGTGTGAAGAGTGTACGCGTGTTTCAATCATCATCATACCACCATCATAACCATCATCACCACTATCATTATCATTATTCATTTCATTATCCATAAAAACAGAGAAAAACTTTTTGTCCTTTCGTTAAATTGAATTAAGTTCAGTACAAAAGATCATTTGCAAATGCATATAACAATTATAAATTGTGTATTTGGGGATTCATCATCTATCAAATTGACAATTTTCGTTCATTGTTTTTTTTTTCTTCCTTTTTTTTCTTCTTTTTTATATATATACTTTCCTTATTAAATTTGTTTAATCGTTTTTTTTTTCTTTCTTTTTCTTAGTAAAAAAAAGTATAGGAAAGGAAAAGAAGAGAAGAGAAGAATTAATAATCAAATAAATCCCCAAAACAGATCGTTTATTGATCAAAAATAAGGGACGATAAAATTATTAGGAATTTGATTTTTTTTTTCGTTTTTTTTTTAATCTTTTTTCTTTTTTTTTCTTTTTTTTTTTGTCTTCATCATTTTTGAATATACCAAACCGTACTTATAAGTAACTCTAAGAGACTGATTCATCAGTGCACGTATCCTATACAAATTAGTATAAGAGACGAGCAGAGAGCTTGCACTCGCAGTGTGCAGCATCATATTTTATACAGTAAAAGTGTCCTGCTGCAGTCGGTGTCGTTTAATAGGCAGATGGTTTGTTTTCTTTTTTTTTTTTTTCTTCTGAAATTTGCATAGCAAACGTATGCACGTATATATATATATATATATATATATATATATATATATATATATATATATATACCTACACACCACGTGTTTCTTTTCTTTTTTTCACACATTCTCTCTCTCTCTCTCTCTCTCTCTCTCGCGCGCGCGTGCTCTAACATTTTTTTTCCAAATTTGTCACTCTATTTTTTTTTTTCATTTTGTTTTGTTTTGTTTTTCTGTTCTAGAAGATCCTATCTACCCCCCCCCCGTTCTCCCATCCACCACGTCATTATTTCACACAAAGACTAGCGTTTTTAAACGATCCAAAATAAACTAAGGGCACTTTTTAGTGTGGCTTATGCCCTGTCCTTATTCAATTTCATGGAAAATCTAACTCTGACCGTTGTTAAACTTTGTTTTATTACAGCACCTATCGACTTCTAAGAGTCCCTATTTTTTTATCTTAATTAGCTATGACACACTTGCCTTAATCTAAGTTTTCAATACGTGCTACACCTCTCGCCATCCTTAAAGTATCTGAAAATCTTATTTATTAATTAATCAATCCTTGTACGCGTAAGTCTCCAACGTCGTCATTTTTTTTTTCTTTTTTTTTTCTTTCTTTCGTGTTTGGGTTTTTTTTTCTCATTGGTCGCACACCACATAACAATATATATATAGTAAAAAGAAAAGGAAAAAAAAAGAATTAATTAATAATAATAATAAGCCAGAGACAAATGTTGTGTTTTTTTTTTTTTTAGATAATTACATGTTTCATCTTTCATTATTATTATTATTATTATTATTATTATTATTATTATTACTTTTATTATTATTATTATTATTATTATTATTATCATCATCCTCATCATTTGCATCATCAACATAGAGGAAAAAAAATGAGTACATTTA